GGTGGCAAGGCTGGAAGACAGCTTCCCCAGTCTCACTGTATTATCTTTCTTTTTGAGAATTCAGATCTGTCCCACAAACTTTACTACTGGTGACAAAAAAAAGTCTAAGGCCTGTGAAATAAATCTCGATACCTTGTTTCACTCTACCCCTTTAAATATATGTGTCAATAATAGCATACATACTTGACTGTACTTTTCAAGGGTATTAAAAACTACTCCGTTTATAAACAAATACATTCCCCTTGAGAGGACAAAATAGACTTTGTTCAACTTGATTCCCCTCCCCAAAGAAAACTGATTATGGATATAATGCATATTATTCTTGAAGGGAAAAAATTAAAGCAGCAGCTTTTAATGGAAAATAATTTAAAAGTGCTTCTTAAATAATACTGAATCAGATTAAGTCTTCTATGAATTCTAATAGAAATTTAAAAACTAATTTTTCTTTAAAAAAACAATTTTCTTGGTATCCAATTTTTACTGTTAATTTAGGTAAATCTTTGAAAAAAAGATTTTAAATATGAGTGAATCAGTGATAGATGGAAGTAAAGTTCTTTTTATCATGCTCAGGATGCAGTAGCAAAATGATTTTTCATTTTGTTTTATTTAACATAATTTCTAACTTATGCTAATAGATGAGTTTTAGTAAGAATGGCTTACAAGAAAGAAACAAGCTTAATTTAAAAATATACTATTGTTATTTCACTGAAGCCAGAAATTAGTCTTATTTTCATATAATTGTTTTGGTAGCTGGAGGCATTTGTTTACTAAAGAAATAAAATGTCCAGTATTTAACAGTTAAAATACCTTACATAGTTAAAACTTTTTCAAAAGAAAATTTTTACTTCGAAGTATTACTTAACGTATTTTCACTTTGAATATTAAGATAAATAGGAAACAATTCCTGTGTATCTCCATATTTGCTGTTACATTTTTATGAATATATTTTCTTATAGTTCATTATTAAAACTGAATTTTACCTGTTACAGAATACATAGTGTATAGACTTCCAGATGGAGTAAATATTTCTGTCTTCATATGTCAATATTAGAAGACAACCATCTCCAGTTTATTTTTTGTTTGTTGGTGTTGGTTTTGGTTTTGGTTTTTTTCTGGTACCGGGAAGCGAACTCACAACCTTGCTCTTGCCAGGCAGGCACTGTGCCGCTGAGCTAAATCCCCAGCCTCCCACCTCCAGTTTAGAACAAAACAGTAGGAGTAGTTTAAATTACTAAATGCCATCTTGTGCAAGAATTCACTGATGTGGCTATTCGGTTGTGTATTTTTTGTCTTTTTAAGTAAGGAGGCCTCTAGATGCATTACATTGGTTTTTATGCTTCTCAATCTGAGACTATTTCTTTGAAATATGATGATAATTACAATTTTACAGAAATATTTCTATTCACTATGTATAAAAATCTGCCATAAAGATAGATAAATTTGAGCTTGGCATGGTGGTGTATGCCTGTAATCCCGGCATTTGGGAGGACAAGACAAGAGGATCATCAGGCGTTCTAGGGCAGCCTGAATGACATGGTGAGACCCTATCTCACAGAAGAAGAGGAAAAAACTTGAGTTATTTGTAGGAAAATTGATGCACTTTGAGACTGTAATGTTAAGTAAATTAGACACAGGCTGAAAAGTCACCTGATTTCACAAGGCAAACTAAAAGATACAGTAATAGGAAACAGAGAGATAGATCTTGCAAAAGGGAAGAAGACCAAGAGATGGAGAAGAGCAGGGGAAGAAGATGAGAAAGGTTGTGTGCTGTGTACATGTACCACCTCCCCATGATGAGTACAGTCATTGTGTACTGCAAACATGTACATCTAATACAAAATTTAAAAATCTGTAAATTTACCAAACGTACTGAAAAACATGTACATTATTAAATAGGTTTATATCACAACCTAGTTTTGCTTTTTTTTAAATGAAAAAATAATACAGGTTTCATTTACAAAGGGTTTGTTTGTTTAGAAAATCCATCTAAAATAAAAAAGTACATGGGGGTAGAATATCCTCTGAAGTCCCACTTTCCAGAAACTTGCTCCTAAGCTCTCAATATATTTGTGTGTTTCACTCTGGATATACAGCTCTGCAAAGACAGAATTAAGTATTAATTATTAATGTTGCCTTGCAGTGTTTTTCTCCATTGTATGTTATTGCACCTACTAAACCTCTTTATAGTTACAAATATATACCATCTTTTTTTAAGGGATATATAGTATAACTATTTATTTGATCACCTCCCTAGTGATAGTCCTTTAGGCTAGAACTTTCCAGTGTCTCTACTAGCATTTTACAAAGGAGAGATCAGAGGCCATTTTAAATTTTTAAGTATTCTTATGATGGTATTTTATCTCATATTGATCTAGGAGAAATAAACTCTCAGCCTGTTAGATGTCACATGTGCCAAGTTCATGTCCCCTGAAATCAGAATGAACTCGAAGAGACAAAGGAGGTTAAGAGTAGGAAATGTTTATTGAGAGAGAGCTCCTGAGAGACAAGAGGAGGTCCTGAAAGTAGATTGCCACCGAAGCCCTTTGTCAGGGGTAATTTATACAGCAAAGTCATAATGTTAGTCAAACTACAATCAGTGTGATAGGAACACAAGTACTGTGTAGCTGCTTAGCTAAAACTGATCCAATAGGGAAGTGGGTCACATAGCAAAGGTACATAGAAAGAGCAAAGACTTTTGGGGGAAGGGATGGGTCCAGATGCTCTGGTCACCCACTTGGGTGACTGATGCCTACCTGGACTTCCTGGGCCAGGTGCTGCTAATTACCGTATCATTCCAAGTTACTGCTTATCCTTTAGGGAGGCATGTAGGCCTGGCCATTGCATCTTTGAGTCCTGGCCTTCTTCAGATGAGCATCCAGCTACAATTCTGATGTCTTTGCTTTTCACTGCCTTCCTTGAGAATCCAGTCCCTCTCTGACTGTATTAATTTCTATCTAGCTTAGCTGCCAATAATGTTATATACTTTTTTAAAATTTTATTTATTTTAGTTTAATTTTGTTTTTGAGACAGAGTCTTGCTGTGTAGTTCAGGCTGGCCTTGCACTCACTGTGTTGTCCAGAATAGTCTCAAACTGGTGGCAGTCTTTCTACCTCAGCCTCTTGAGTGCTGAGAGGGTAGGCATATGCCACCACGCCCAGCTTCATGTGCCTTTTTTAAATGAAAGACTTGTTTTTCATAAGTTTATAGGTAACAATCTTAGAGTCATATTATTAGCCTTCAAAACTATCATAAAACGATTTGGTTTAGTTGTTTCTGTGCTACAAAGCCCCAGTGTTCTTGTGTTCTTTTTTTTTTTAAGTACAATTTCACTTTTACTTGTTTTAGAATTTAATTCACAAAATAATTTTGTTCTTAAAAATGAGTAAGTTATATAATCTAATTAACATATTCCCCATCCATCCACCCTACAAAGAGAAAAAAAAAATCACTCAACTTCCCTTATCTCCAAAAAGTATAAAACAGTATTTGTTTTAATTGCATAGCTAGTCCTTTTTTGCAGATGCCTCCCTATGTTATCTCTTGCCCTGCACTGTCAGAAATAACTATTGTTGCAAATTGTTTTGTGTAGCATTCCCTTGTTTCTCTACAGTTTTGTTCTAAATACTGTATTCTTTTGTGTGTGTTTGAACTTTATGTTATAAAAAAGTTCATCTGAGTTGCTTTTTATACTCGTGTTCCTGAGATTCATACATTATTTTTCTTTTAGCAAAGGTTATGTTTAGCATTCTGTAGTATTCTGTTTTTTGGGATCACATTTTATTTACCCATTTACAGTTAATAAAGTTTAGATCTTTTTTTAAGTATATTTTTTATGATAAACTATATTGCTTGAGGTTTTTTGTTATTCTTTTTGCTTGAACATTCTTGACTGTGTCTCTTGGTATATGTGTACAAGAATCTCTTTAGATCAGAGATTGGGAAACTGGTAGGACACTTATTTTGTCAGTGATGTTTTAACTGAACATAACCATACTCGTTCGTTTACATACTTAAATCTGGTTTTTTTTGTTGTTTTGTTTTTTTTTTGGTCTTCGGTGAGACAGGGTCTCACAGTGCAGTTCGGGTTGGCCTTGAGCTCACTTTGTAGCCCAGGCTGGTCTTGAACTCCTCAACCTCCTGAGTACTACAGGCATGCGCCACCACGCCTGGCTGTAGCTGTTAATTGTGTTATAAAGTCAGATCTGAATGGTTGGAACAGAGACTGTATGGTCTGCAAAGCCTAAAATATTTACTATTTTGCCTTTTAGAGAATGAGTCACCTGACCCCAGTGATAAGTTAGAGTATATACCCTTAAGAGTATGAAATTGCTGGATGATACAGTGTTTACGTCTTTAGTTTTCCTAGACTGTAGTACCAAGGAGTTTTTTCCAAAGCCATTGAAACAAGTTATCTCCTTCCAGTAAGTTCACATTACTCTACATCTTTGGGAACACATGATATTGTTAAATTTAAATTTTCTTTGCTAGTACAACGTGCCAAAATGTTTTCTCTGGTTATAATTTTCCTTTCCAAGATTTTTAATGAAGTGCTTGAGACTTGCTTCATTTGTTCATTGGCCATTTATGTTTCCCTTTCCATAAGATGTTTAGTCAACGCTTTTGTTATTTTGTTGTTTTATTGATTTGTAGAAATTCTTTATCTGAGATACTAATCCTTTATCATTTATGTGTGTTACAACTCTTCCCTGTCTATAGATTTGTTTCTTGTTATGGCTTTTAGTGGACATGCATTCTGAATTCTAACATGGTTAAATATCAGTCTACTTTCATGGGAATTCATTAAAAAAAAATAACTGGTTTGTTGAACTAAAATTTGCATATTCTACAATTTACAAACGAAAGTATATAATTCAGTAGATTTAAACTTTTTTGTTTTTGTTTTTGTTTTTATTTTGAGACAGGGTCTGGCTTTGTAGTTCAGACTAGCCTTGAACTCGTTATGTAGTCTAGTCTGGCCTCGAACTCACAGCAGTCCTCCTGCTTCAGCCTCATGAGTGCTGTGATTACAGGTATGCTGCCTAGCAATTCTAACTTATTGACAGTTGTATAGCCGTGAACACAATCAACTTTAGTTCATTTTGTTGTCTCAAATCAAAACACTACCCACAGCTCTCATCTCCCAATTCTTCCCCTCTAAATGTAGAGAACCACCAAGCTACTCTGTATTCTCATAGATTCTCCTGTTCTGGAAATTTTTTTTAAAATTCAAAACAACCAGACTGGGGGTTTAGTTCAGTGGCACAAGCGCCTGCCTGGCAAGTGCAAGGTTCTGAGTTCAATCCCTAGTACAAAAAAAAAAAAAAAAAAAATTCAAAACAACCTATGCTTGTAGCAACAATAAAGATCTTAATATATCCAAAGAAATGGAAATCCTGCAAAGTAGTTCTCACACCATATTGCACTTGAAACTAGAAACCAATAGTAGAAACAATACAATGATTTTTTCACTCTGTTTTCCTGTTGTCTGTCTTTTATTTCATATTTTATATGTTAACTTTTTCATATAAGGGACACCATGTGATGTTCAAGTTATGAGTCTGATTTGTTGCGCTTAACATTATGGTATCAGGCTGCATCCATTTTCCTACAGATGACTCAAATTTATCTTTTTTAGGACACAGTAATACGCTGTTGTGTATAAATACCATATTTTGTTTGTCCACTCATCTGTTGATGGGCATATAGGCTCTAAGATTTAGCTCTTAAAAATTGTCGTGCTATAAACATGAGTATACATACATCATGCGATATGTGTTTAATTCTTTTTGGAAGTGATTCTTTTTTATATCTTGTTTAGGAACATCCTCCTTATTTATAAGATATGTATATGTTTTCTGTTCTAACAGTTTTATAATTTTGCCTTAAGTTCTTTAATCTGTATTTAGATTTTTTTTAATGTGAAAATAGGAATTTTAATATATACCTCGTTTAAACTGATTTATACTTTGAGTGGCTAATTTCTATCCCTCTATCTGCACATGCACTGAGTTTTTCTGTTCCAGTACCCCTTCATGGTTTTGAAATTTTATTTTTCAGTTCTTAAATTGCCCTTTTTAAAAGTAATTTCTTTGTTGTTCACACTTCCATATTTCTTTCTTTCTTCCTTTCTTCCTTCCTTCCTTCCTTTCTTTTGCTGAGACTCCCATTATTCCTTTGTTTCGTGGATCATGATGAAGATCATTGCTTTGAAGTTTTTGGTAATCCCACTCTGTCATTCCATGCTTGTCTGTTTTTTTCCCTTGTGTTATTTTAGATTTTCCTGGTTCTTTCAGTATCAGTTAATTTTGAATTATCTTCTGAACAGTTTGAATGTTATGAGACTTCGGTCATATTAAAATCTTCTGGAGAATGTTGATGATGGTACCGCTTTTCTCAGGCAGTCAGTTCTATTCAGACCGCAATTCCTGACCTGTGTACTCAGGCTCCAATGTCAGTTTAATTTTAAAAGATTTTCCAAGGCTATTCTTGTCAGCCTTGCATGTGTACTATTCATGGGCAAGTCTGGGACCTGGGCGCTGTTCTGCATCCATTCAGTTCCTCAAGCCTTTGCTGCGCTGATTCCAGGTATTTCTGTGTGTCTGCAGCTTAGCGGATAGACCTTTGACTTTATGGCTCCCTTTCTCTAGCTCCCTTCCTCTGTAATCTGCATACTTGGCTCTCCTAGACTCCCTTCCCATGTGCTCTTGCTGAAGCTGGCTCTTTGCTTTATTGCTATGCATATCGATGTGAAGCAGGGAGGGAGAGAGAAAGAACATCCAAGGGAGCCCTTACCCTTCTTGCTCTGAGCACCACTTCTGCCATGTATTCATAATTGGGGCTTGCGTGATTTAGAGAATCAAAAGAGCTTCCCTTCAAGTCTTCTGGCCAGAAAGAAGGGGGTTATCTGGAGCTTTTTGGTATGCAGTTGCGGGATTTCATTAACTCTTGTCTAAGCTGTATGGTATGGAGGTCAGGAACTCACAACTGAATGGATCTTCTTCAGAGTTTGGTTTCCCTTTCCACTCATCTATTCATACTAAGCCTTCAGAGATTTCAAATAATTGTTCTATGCACTCTTCCCAGAATATTTAATCACAATTAGGGAAAGAAATGGGCTGGGGCCAGGTATATTCTCAGTCTTAACCATAATGAGAAAAACCCTACCCTGTAGATTTTAATGTCTCACTTACCCAAAAGCAGTAGGGTGTCTGTACCTATCTGAAATCTATACAGACAAAAAAAAAAAAAAAAAATTCTGGAATACTCATACTTTAAGACTTAAATAATCATAGGGCTTAGCACTGGATGGGTACCAGTAAATGTTGTTTTGGTCCTTTATTTTTTCCGGTTTTAAAATTATGTCCTTTATGACCTAATTCATGTATACATGTTTGTATATATGTGTGCATATATATACATGTATGCATGAACACATAAAATTATGTGTATATATACGTGTTATGTACATACAGTATTTTGAAATAGAAGAGTTTCTCATTTCAGAGACTTTGCTGTTTATATAAACAATTCAGAAAGCTTAGTTAATCCAATATCCCATAATAAAGGAAGTTAAATTAGAAGGAAGCATTGCCCTAGAACAGTGGTGGCAAAACTACAGCACGCGTGCCACACTGGGCTGTTTGTATTATTGAAAGCTCTAAAAAGTTTGCCACCACTGCCCTAGAAAGTCATAAATCCTAATTGCAAAAGTATAGAAAAGATATAAAGGAAAATTTTATTCCAGTATTTAGTTATCCAATTAAAAATATAATAGCCTCCAGGGCATTATTTTGTTAGAGGTCCTTTAACAATGCAGTAATTAATACTCTGAAATAGAAACTGAATCATCAAAAGTGGATACATTTACTGAGCATAGTGGAACACATCTGTAATCACAGCGCTTGGAAGGCTGAGGCAGGAAGATCACCAGGAGTTCAGGGCCAGCCTGACCTACATAGCAGTGTCCTGTCTCAAAACAACAACAAAAAAGTGGTTACATTATAGTTATATGGCTCTAAAAAGCAAAAAAGTAAGCTTTCCGTGTAGTAGGGCACAGTACCCAACATCCACATCTTAAAGAAGGAGCAGTTTAATTTGGTTCCGTTTCAAGGGATTCAAAAGGTCGGCAAGCTCCAAAGTAGAAACATCATGGTGAAGGGCATGGTAGTCTCACGTCTCACGGTGGCCAGGAAGCAGAGGCGGTTAATGGTGCCAGAGATGAAGGGGCAAGGGGCGAGACGCAGACCCCCGAGGCCACGCCTCCCTGGCCCATCCGCAGGTACTCCACTATACCTCCCCCCTCCCCGCCCCCGCATCTCAAAGCCAGTCAGATTACTACAGCCAAGCTTAGTCACCAGTGTTCCATTTTAGAAAGATTTACTTACAGTTCACAAGGTGCTAGAATGTGTAGCCATGTCTCATTATGACACTGGATTGTCAACTCTGAGATACTTAGAATAGAATATAGTATATTTATCTTTGCAAAGGTGACATGTATTAACTATGATTTAGTGTAAAAAAAAACCATAATGAATAGCTGTCATTTTGTATTTTTTCATTTTGTATTTTGAAAACTATAATACTACTGAAATGTGCTTTGTAGTTATATATAAATTTGTATTTACCTATTAGAGTGATATTTACTTATGCCATTAAGTAGACTAGTGGGTAAGAAATTTACAGATCTCCTTTTCGTCCTCTTCTTTCCGTTGAAGAACTCTTTTTTTGTTTGTTTGGGTTTTTTTATTTTAAAGAGAAAAGAACAAAAAAACCCACAAAAACTATAAAAAATGATACAGAATTTCAAAGCAAGATGATAGGAAATCAACAAGGGTTGTTGTATTACTTGTTATCTTTAAAGTAGTTGCTCAGATTACCAGATATAGGTATGCAAGATTGATAAACAATTAAACATTAACTGTTCCTTTCAATAAACCAATAGAAATTAGTAGTACAATTATCTTAGCTATCTTGCGTATATATACATACATTTTTTTCCTTTCCTTCTTTCTGTTCTCCTTTCCCTCATCCCAGTTGTTCTTTCTTATTGAGTAGTTTCTTTCCCTTCCACAATATCTAGTGTACCTTTCAGATTTTATCTACACTTTCAAGTTCTTACACTAAGGAGACAATCCGGTGTGTACACATAAGGGTCTGATTTATCTTACTGTTTTTTGTTTTGTTTTCTTCTGGTTTAAGAACTCTTGAGAATTCATCCCTAGTTGTTTTAAGCCTCAAGACTAGATACTATTTTGAGAAGAAAAAGAAATAGTAATCAGGAATTACTGTGGTATTAAAAAGAAAAGGAACTAACACACTCGTTTTAAGAAAAAGGCCCCAGAAAATAGATACATTCTATTTATGGAGATAGATACATTCTATTTATTGTTAATGGGAATGTCATATATTATACTAATATATATTATATTATATATATTATATTATATATAATATTATATTATATATAATATATTATATATACTCTAATATATTATATTATACATAATATATATTATATTAATAGATACATTCTATTTATTGTTAATGGGAATGTCATATATTAGGACTGGGAAGAACCATTTTCAAAATGGAAAGTGCGGGAGCCACTGAACAGAATCATCAAAGGAAGAAACTCTGACCTCAGTGTGTTATATGATCTGCTTAATTCGCCTAATGTCTCGGTCTTATGTAACACAGTACTGCCATTTGTGGAAGTTGAGAATTTAATGATGTTAGTTTTTCATAAATTGAGAACAATTTAGAAAGGCATATCCATTTAGTTACTAACTTAATTAAGACCTATAGGTTATAAGTGAAGGCTTTCAAGAAGTGAATTTCATTATTTTATTAATTAGCTGGCAGAAATATTAGAGTGGCTCTCAGAATTGCAAGTCCACAGCTTCAGAGGTTAGACCAGCAACTCAAAGTTCTCCAGAGTCTCTTCACTACTGAAAACAAGGGCCTTGGGCTACATCCTTGTGGTTGTTGAGCTAATAAGGAAAGTGGCCATCTCATTCACTGATTGTGCCAGGTGGTACAAGGGAGGGAGAAGCATGATGAGTTAACAACCCTAATATGGGACCTCAAAAAATATGGAATTCCACAAAAGAGGGAAGAGCTTGTTGTTCTTATTAGAAGGATGAGAATAGAAAAGCATTTTAAGCAAAAATAATAGTGTAACATAGCTACAAAGAGTATTTATTAGGTGGAATTTAGCTAATTACTATAGAAATAAAAGTAATGCTGCTTATGAAATATAAAAATTCCAAGACAAGAGATTGGATTATTCTTACCAGTCCTTTTCTTAAGCATTTCATAGTTTGACCATTCTGCTGTCATATGCTGCTCCGTGCCCCAAAGCTCCCGTAGTGTATCTTTTGTACTTAGTATCCATCTTAGGCACCTTCCTCATGATAGTCCTACTTGCAGATGAAGAAATCAGGCTCAAGGAGCTGAAATAAGTTGTATTTAAGGTGATGTAACTAACATGGAACCAAAACTTGAAGTCTGAATTAAAAATAAAACCCCACTTTTAATACCAGCACTTCTCAGTGATTGTCATTGAAATACCACTAAAGGTAGAAGAGGGTATGTATGGATGCCTGGGAGATCTGTTGGCATATGTTCAATGTCAACATTATTTACTGCTCCATAGTGTAATAACGGTAGGTCTGTTTTTAAATTCTGAGGTTGTGTTGTTTTGTTAATTCAAACTTAAAATTAAATTGTGTAGAAGATCTATGGGGTACTATTCATTATGGGAAAATTGACACTGTTCCATATTGTCTGGATGACCGACCCACTGTAAATTATCTCAGTCTAGTCCAAACAGCCCTTATATTAGAATCTCCAGCATTTCCTTAGTACAGGCGAAGGATATTTCTTATAGTTATTTCCACTGAATTTTTCTGCTTATAGTGGATAACCAATAGCAGTGATCTTTCTGTACGTTTAGATTCTTAGTAACTCAACAAATAATGTACTCTACACTTACATAGCTTTGGAAGTAGCTATGTAATTTATAATTACTGTGTTATAGTTAAACATACCTAAGGCGTGTACTGTATTGGGTCTGTGCTTTGTAGAACCAGTAGCTTTTTTTAAAAGAGAGAATGGTGTGTTGAAAAGAAGCAGCAGCAAGTCTTTTTGCTTGTTATATAGCAGTATTGCCATTTGTGGGGGTTGGGAGAGTTTTATAATAAGGACATACATCAAGAAGCCAGGCATATTGGCACACAGTTCTAATCCCAGCATTCCATAGGCTGAGGCAGGAGGATTGCAATGAGTTTGAGGCCAGCCTGGGCTACACACAAGACCCTGTCTCAAAAAAAGGAGACAGAAGTCAAAAGTGCTTTTTAGCCAGGCATGGTGGTGCCTGCCTGTAATCCCAGCAGTCAGGAGGCTGAGGCAGGAAGATTACCACAATTTTGAGACCATGGTGGACTACATAGTGAGTTCAAGATCAGCTTAGACTATATAGCAAGACCGTTTTAGAAAACTAATTTTTAAAAAAGTGTTTTCTAATCAATGCTGATGAAAGAACGTGATGTTTCTCTGATACAGAAAGCAAAATAGAAGAGATTGCCTTCTTTGTTTTCATAGAAAAGTATGATCATTATTTGGTAATTAAGAAGGATAGCGTGAATAGTTTGTTCTTTTGCAAGTTTCCAGGTATATCTACAATATCATATGTTTAGGCACCATTTGGATGAGGGCATCCATTCAACTGATGGTGTAAAAATAGGGGAAAATAGATGAGGAAAAAATTTTTTTCATTATTTTAAAGCGTTTGACAAACTTAAAAACATTATTTTAAATTAGTTATAGTAGCTATGAAAATCTTTATAGATGTTAATTGGTGTAAACATGAAGTTGTTTTAGTTTTTGTAATCTTCTAAAAGGCTTATCAGGTATAATTTTTCTTATCAAAAAAAGTTTCTCAAGTAGCTTATTTTTGAAATACTCCTTATTTTTTAGATGATAGCATTTCTGCTGCAAGTACTTCTGATGTTCAAGATCGCCTATCAGCTCTTGAGTTACGAGTTCAACAGCAAGAAGATGAAATCACTGTGCTGAAGGCAGCTTTGGCAGATGTTTTGAGGCGTCTTGCAATCTCTGAAGATCATGTGGCCTCAGTGAAAAAATCAGTCCCAAGTAAAGGTAATTAAGTGGGTTATAAAATAGCAAGTCTTGCTTTTTACAACATTTTCTTGGAAAAGTAAAATTGAAAATATAAAATTGTTTTTTTCTTTTGGGTTACTTGTAATTATAATTTATTTCTTTATTCTCAAGAAATGCTTTAAGTCTATTCTTTATTATTGTAAATTGGGAAATTTTGTGTAATACCACACATAGCACTTACAGGCTCTTACATATACTATTTGAATGAAGTTAGAACCTCCTAATTAGATAACGTATTTGCCAAGGTAATAGATTTTCTGAATCTTTTTGCTTCTCCCATTCTGTCCTAAACATAACAAGTAGATACTCATATATTTAAAATCAATTCTATTTTTGCAGACATATGCTTAAAATTATTATAGTTTAAGAAGTTCTGTTCTAAACCTGCTGTAGTCATTAGTTAAACAGAAGCCTGGAAAAGTTAACTTAAACTCTGTGATGTATTGCCAACCCCAGTACAAAGGGAATTATAACTTCCAGATAACAGGGAATTTTCAAGGTGGAAAGAAACAGTCCTTAAGCCCCTGTTCTGAGTTTGAAGCAGACAGGACCTTTTTCTTCCTTCAACCACCACGAAAGAATTTAAAATTCTTCCAAATTAATCAAGCATTTGAACATATCATTTCATACCTTTTACTGAATTCTTGGTAGACTAGATAAAGACTGGCACGATTATCTTTATCTCGACAATGGGAAAAAATGAAGGTGTGCATTTGCTTTATTTCTTTGGTGCAATACCTAAATATAAATTATTAGCCTCTTGAAGAGTTTACATACCTCCCAGATTCTAACTAGGTAAAAGACAGTATAGTTAACCAGGATATGGGAAGCAAATCAGAAAGAAAGATTGTGAGTTTAGGTTTTGAGTGTTCTGTTTGGGGTACACATGGCATTTGAGTAGGCACGTGCCGATAGCTGAACGTAGGTTTAGTGCTCGTGTAAGGTTTGCTTGGCAAAAAGAATCTGGGACTGTTGAGGTTATGGGTGAGAGTTAAGCAATGGAAGGAGGCTGTAAAAGGAAAAGAAAGTCTAGCATAGTTCGGTCTGGGAGCTGCAGCACTGCAGCATAGCAAAGTAATTCATGTAGTCAGCTGCTGCAGAGAGAAGGGAGATAAACCAGAGACTGAGAAAGTGACCCTTTGATATCTATAAGAATATTAGAAACCTCTTCGGAAGCTATTTTAGCAGGGTAATGGGATTGAAAATCAAATTCTAGTGTTTTGAGAAAATTTGTGGAATTTTTCAGGGGTAAATGTAGCCACTAAACTTGAGTGGGGAAGATAGGTACTGTCTAGAAGAATATGATAAGTTGAAGGCCAGTTTTAATTAATAATTTTTGTTTTTATTTTTTATTTATTTTGTTCTGGGAATCAAACTCTGGGTCTGTGGAACTGTTCTGCCACCAAGCCACAACCCTAACCTCTTGTAATTTTTATTTTTTAAGATGTGACAGATTTGTTGAGGACAGACAGACACCAGAGAGGAAATGATGTTAGGGATGGGTAGTAATTGGCGAAGCAAAGTTCTTGAGAGCGTTAGTGGGAAACTGTTAATCTTAAAAATAAGACTACTGTTTGAGGTAACATGGAGTGGTAAAACTCACAGAGGTCCAAATATTTAGTTATCAGGGCTGGAAGTTTCAGTCTTCCTCTGAGGAGACAGTGATAACTCTTTAAGAGATTAAGGCACATTTTGAGTGGTGGAAAAAAGAGATGAAATATTTGGACTGTTTAGAGTGGAGAAGGGAAGACCCTAAATATATGGGAGAGCTGCGTGACCCTGAGAATGTGGAGATGAGATGCTGGGGGAAGAGTGGGGACGCTTTCTTCTGCCTTGCGCTGGCTTTTTACCTCTCATCTTCAAGCATTCTGGGCCTAGGTGTTAGTAGTGGAGAAGCAGGGAGAGGGCAGAATTAATCTTTTCCATTAACGGCAGGAAAATAAATGAATCAATAACAAGGGATAAGGCACCCAGGAGTTTGGCAAAGACTTTTGGTAGGAAATATTTTGGATAATGTTTTATTGTGGTTTTTACTTTTTTTTTTTTTTTAATCAGCTTTGAAGACTGAGCTACAAAAAAATTGATTTCCATAAGAGGTTTTTAGAGTTGTTAGAGTAGAATGAGAAACCAGGTCAGTTAACATGTATGGGCAGAACTTTGTGAAGGAGGAGGAACAAGTTTCTGTGATTTATAATATATGTATGTTATAATATGTAATGCATACAAATTCTACCCCAGAAAATGTACACACACTTCAGGAAAAGAAAAAATTGTGCAAGTATGTTAATACTAAATTTATTGAGACATCATAAGATTAATGCAAATTACCTTTGGCCTCCACAGTTACAAGAAGCACTCAAAAGTGGTAGCCATGAGCATCCAGACATTTATTAGTGTGGTGAACTGCTGCTTACGTAACCTTGGTCATTCAGACTGCTGCACATGCATTTTTAATTTCTTCTCTAAGGGCTGGCAGTGTAGAGGGTTTTCTGCAATCTGAACATCCTTTAGGATCCCCCAGATGAGAGTAACACCATCTATTGAAAACACATCCTCAGCTTCTGAGTCTATGTGTGAAGTCCTGTAGTAGAAAGTGATAAAGTATTTGCTTGCTAGCTAAAATATTTTTAAATGTGTGTTTTGACACATAGTAATCATATATATTTGTATGTATGACTTCAGTACATTTATGCACTGTGTAATGGTCTAGCCATAATAACTATCGTATCTGTCGCCTCAGACATTTATCATTTCTTTGTATTGGGAATATTTAAAACCCTCTCTCATAGCCATTTTGAAATAACGAATTGTTGTCAGTCATAGTTATCCTCCTGTGCTGTAGAGCATCAGAATCACTCCTGTCCAGCGCAACCCTGCACCTGTCAGCCGTCCTCGCCCTCACCCCTCCTACCTTTCACCCTCCCCCGGCTTTGGTAACCACATCCCTTTTCTCTAACTTTTTAGCTTCTGCATGTACATGACAGCATTCGGTGTCTTCCTGCCTTGTTTACTCCACTCAGTAGCCTCCAGTTCCATCCATGTTGCAGCAAATTAAAGAATTTCATTTGCAATTGAATAATATTCCACTGTGTATTTATATACCACATTTTCTTTATCCATTTATGCACCAACAGTCCCCTAGATTGAGTCCGTATCTTAGCAGTTGGGAATAGTGCTGCAATAAACATTCCAGTGTAGCTGTTTCCCAGCATACTGATTTCATTTATTATGGACATATACCTGCTAGTGGGACTGCTGGGTCATATGGCAGATTGTTTGAAGAACTTCATACTGTTTTCCCCAGTAGCTGTACCAGTTAACATTCCCACTGTGTTGAAGAATTTCGCTTTCTGTGTCCTCACCGGCATTTGTTAGTGTTTGTCTTTTTGATAACAGACACTCTAACTGGGTGAGCTGATATCTCATTTTGGTTTTGATTTGCATTCCCCTGATTATTAGTCACGTTGAGCATTTTTCAACATTTTTAAATGATTATTTTAAAGTAGTTTTGTTAATCCTTTAAAATATTTTAATTTTTTCTTATTCTAAAACAATAGTATATTATAATCTTGTGTTACTTGATAAAAATTTAAATAACTTCCCCCCAAAGTTTTGTAAATAAAACTTCAAGATTTTAGTGAAGAAAATCTTAAAAGTATTTAAGGGAAATTCAAAGGCTGCTGTTTTTAAAAAAATTCCATAGGTAAACCACATGTTACATAACAACATGTCAGTTAGTTAGCACCTACCTCTCGGCGTCATGAGATACTGTTAAATAGCTATAGTTCTGTTCCCCAGCAACAAGTTGTCTGTTCTGATCCTTTCCTGGTATTCTCACTTGTAGTTCCTTTGTCTCTCAAATAAGACTGTGATCCGCTTTGTTAGTGGCTTTTCAGTGGGAATTACTGCACCCCTTCCTGGAGCAGCAGAGCCACCTGTAGCTGCTGCACTGTTGGCATTTGTGTGTACCCTAAATTAAACCGTCAGTTGTCAGTTTTGAAGTTTAACATGACAGATATATTAATGGTATAAAAAATTTGGAATAAACAGTTTAAGCAAAGTATTTTCGAATAAATAGTTTTTCATTAACTTCTTAAAAGGCAGTTGTTTTATAGGGATTTATATTTCTTCCTTCAGTTATAAAAAGTTTTCTTATATGTGGACAATTTTGTCTCATGAATTTTTTAGTCCCTGTGAAATTAGAATTAAGGACAGTCAGTTCACCAGATCTGTGGTTTCCACGTGCATTCAGCCAGCTGAGGATCAGAAATATGGGTGGGGGGGACTAACTGTGCTGAGCACATACAGATTCTTTCCTGGTCATTATTCCCTAAATGATATAGTTTAACATGACATTTATATTGTATTAGGTATTTCAGGTAATGTAGAAATGATTGAAAGTATACAGGAGGGCGTACATAGGTTATAGGCAAATATAGGGCGTACATAGGTTATAGGCACCATTTGTATAAGAAGCTTGAGCATTTATAGATTTTGGTGGGAGTGCTTATGGAACCATTCTCCCACAGATGTGGAAAACTAACTGTATTCACTTTCATATAAATTATTGATAAGACATTGATCAACATCATCTGTTTACATTTTCTAGATGATTTTTTCAGTAGAGTTCAGACTAAACAAACCCCGATGGGTAGATAGGGAGAACCCTTTTATGAAGCTGTAGTTAGAAAGTTGTATCAACTTTACTGTTGCTGCAGACAGCTGTTACACAGTTTTGCTGAGTGGTGGGGATATGGGGGATGTGATTTGGCTTCATGTGTGTATATTAATTGTGTGTGTGCACGCTAATGGGTAAATGAAATTTTTACTGTCACTTAAATGCCAGAATCAGAAACACACATAACTGATCATCAATACATTTATTTCTCTTCTTTTTATGTTCTCCATGTGCCCGCAGTATTAAAAGCTAAGCCTTATATTTTTTCTTCATTATATTGTGCCAGATACTTAACCAAGAT